TAAATTTGTTCTTTGACAATTTTATATTAGAATGTGTATATAGCACATTCTAATTATGTTCACCACACCCTCTTTTATTTCCCTCCCATCCCTGTCAGCTCCCCAGTCCTCCCTATAAGCCCCTTTCCCATATTCTTGTTGTTTTGTTTTGTTTTGTTTTGTTTTTTTGACCCACTGAGTTAAACCAGGGTCATCTGTGTGACCATGGGTTTGGAACTATTCCTTGTAGCTTGCTAGGTTCACCAGTGTGTGTAGACATCTGAAGATACTGACTGACTCCTCCCCCCCAGAACCTCTTAGTAGTCAATACAATGGCAGAGAAAGGCAGGTGGCTTCCATCTGACCCTCCCCTATCCATTGCCTGACTATTGACCAGGCCCATTCTGTCTGTGCCCAGTATAGACAACCATAGCTGCTATCCATCCATAATTGCAGTTACTTCATCATGCCCAGAAGACAGCATTTCACAGCCATTCTTCCTGTCTTCTCACCCTTACCTTCTTCCAACATATTCCCTGGGATGGTGGTATAAATGTCTTGTTCAGGGCTGAGCTCAACTGCCTCTTTTACTCAGCACCTTGAACAACCATTCGTCTTTGCATTCACTGCTGTTTATTATGAAGAGAGGCTTCCCTGATGAAGGCAGAGGACAGGATTGTCTATGGGTATAAACATGCTTAGAAGGCAGTTTGGGGGTCGTATCTATTTTGCTAAATAACAGTATTAAGTTCCCCCCCTTTAAGCCTGTGACCTTGGAAGGCGGTCAGAACAGTTGGTTGCCCCAGAACAGTTGTGCCATTATTGCAACAGTGTAGCCCCCTTCTTTTGCCGGAATGCTTTGAGTAAAATTTAAGACTGCTTTTTAGAGGTTGAAGTTTTCATATAGCCAAGTTTTCTTCTAGTTCTTTTTATTAATTGATGGTCATGTTTACCAGAAGCAGGAACAGTTAAAGAGTAAAAGAGGTGAAGTGTGTTTCAGGTTTTACACACATACTCATTTGCTCCTTCCTTTTCATTATGTCTTACTCCCCGTGTTGTTGGTTCATGGAATGTTTTTTTAATTTTTTATGTTATGTGTGTGAGTGTATTTCCTGCATGTATGTAAGTGTAGCCATGTCGAACAGTGCCCATGGAGGTCAAAAGAAGGCATCGGATTCTCCTGGGACTAGAGTTACCAACAGTTGTTAGCTGCCATGTGGGTACTGAGAATCAAACCCAGGTCCTCTGCAAGAACAGCCAGTGCCCTTAACCGCTGAGCCAGTCTCCCTCAAAGCAACTTAAGACTCAGTCTTGGAACTAAATACAAGTAACCCCAGAATGTCATAGTATGAAGATTTTGAAACCTACAAAGCTAAGTCTTACGGTGTGGTTGTAATGGTGCCAGGTATTGGTTCAGTGTCACACCATGGTTGTCCTGGTAACTTCTGTTTTCTCCTCTTCTGGGTAGGGAAGCTCCATGAGACTGGCATGAGGGAGGAGAGACAGGTTCCATCTGCCTTCTGCTACAGCACATTGGCATTTTCCCATGAGAGAGTGGTGCAGTTCCTTGTCTTAGCTTGTGTTTTATGTGGTTCTGTTTACATTCTTCTGAGGATTTGGGGCGGGGGTGGTGGTGGCATGTCTTTTTAAAGGAAGAAATGAAGCTGAGGAGTGACTTTGAATACTGCAGTGTTTTCTCCATTGGTGAAGAATGAGTTCTTAACTTTGCCAGGATTAGTTTCTGGCTGCTGCTTTCATGACAAGATAGCAGAGGATTTTGTTACCTGGAGCTAATTTCAGAGCAAGCCATTAAGTCATTTCAGCAGTCAGGGGTCTTGAGATCAGCTTTTAGAAAATGGACATCATTTCCACCAACTTTTAAGATAACCCAGTAAAGAATCAGTATGTCCTAATCTAGGAATTTATTCCTGGCTTTGTGCTGGGCCCCACAACACTACAGGCTTAGCCCACAACACCACAGGCTTAGCTCACAACACCATAGGCTTACCCCACAACACCACAGGCTTACCTGTGTGTCTTTCTGACACATTTTTTTGAGGCACATGATCACTTATGCTAATGTCATTGTTATCTGAGGAAGTCTCCAGATCTGATTCTTTAAATCACACCTCCATTGAAATGGAGTTGCCTTCTCTTAAATGGCAAATGAGGGAACTTGGTCTACATGTGTGTTCCTTCCCTTACACTTTTTCCTAAAAGGCCTGATTTCCTTTGCTTGAGAAGTGATAGGTATCTGTAATAAGCTTGTTTATTTTTTTACTTATTTATGGCTAGTTCTTTTTCTGATTTAGCAGGTAACAAAAGCTATATGCCTAGCAAATAATGAAGGAATTGCATTTTAAATATAGCATCTTGATACATTTTTTTTCCTTTTCTTTTCTTTTCTTTTCTTTTCTTCTTTTCTTTTTCTTTTTGCATTTTGAGCCAGAGTCTCTCTATAGCCACAACTGGCCTAGAACTCACTATGTAGTCCAGGCTGGTCTCTATCTCACAGAGATCCGTCTGTCTCTGCCTCCTGAGTGCTGGGACTAAAGGCATGCACCACCACAGCTGGCTTGATGCATTTCTTCTTTGAAGCCTTGTTGAATCCTTTTTGTTCTGAACTTTGAGGAAATACAGTGACCCATTTTAGCATCTTGGTAATGGCCTCTAACTAGAAGCCTTTTTTTCTTTCATGGTCACCTAAAAAGAAGGAGAGGAAATAGCAGTGTGAATAAGGTATCCTATTCCAGTATATCAGGATCACATGGGAAACTTTACACCCACACACATATTTTATTGATCTGAGGTAAGGCCAGCTTTTCCTCCAGTGTTTCCCAAGTGGTTCTAACATGTTAAGACTAAGAATGGGTGACTAGCCTGCACATTTTCAGGTTAACCCGAAGTTCCTGAAAGTGCCATAGAGTATACCTTAAGAGGAAGCAAGTGGATGGAGGACAAACAAGGACTTCTAGGCCCCCATTTCTTCTGCTGGCCCTATTCCCACCTTTTTTCCCTGAATAATTCTGCCTTTGTCTGTTTTATATGTGGTCTGCTGAAAGGAACAAGGGGTTTTCTTGGTTGTCTATTTGTGGGGTTTTCTTTTGAGCTGGAGGGTAGTTGAGTGCTGTGGATTTAAACCAAGGCCTTAAACATTTTTATATCTTAAGTACTCTACCATTGAGCTACAGCCCAGCCCTTTTTAAAAATTTGAGACTGGATCTTGCCAAGTTACTTAGGCTGGCCTTGAACATAGAATCCTTCTGCCCCAGCCTCCCAAGTAGCTGGGATTACCAGCATGTACCCTCAAGTCCAGCTTGAACAAGTTTTTAACCACAGTTCTCAACATGGGTCCTACATAATAGAGTGCAGATTTTAAATCTGACCTAATAGGATGATGAATGCTGGATCTTCCACAAAAATCTGTACATCATATAGCCTTTGAGGAACTTTTTTTTTTTTTTTTAAAGAAAAGGGCATCTTAGCCGGGCGTGGTGGCGTACACCTTTAATCCCAGCACTTGGGAGGCAGAGGCAGGTGGATCTCTGTGAGTTCAAGGCCAGTCTGGTCTACATAGTGAGTTCCAGGACAGCTGGGGCTGCAGGGAGACCCTGTCTCAAAAAGACCAAAAAAAAAAAAAAAGAAAAGAAAAGGGCATCTAATAGTAATGAATAACAGGATCCTGTGAGTTATCCTTTACTAAAATCTTGGGCATTGAAGGAAGTAACTTGCCCAAGCCAAAGTGTAGGTGAGGCTTGCACACCAGCCATCAGAGGGGCCAGTTGATTGCAGTGTCTTCAGTTTGACTCACATGGTACCTTTTCTTTAGTGTGCCCCAGGCTCTTAACACTCTACTATTTACACTTGGCCCACTCACAGGTTTGCTAATCCTGACCTGGCTCCTGAATAGAAAACAGTTTTTGTTATCAGTGTGTTATTTGCAGGGGTATTAAAAACAACCTGTATTGCTGGGCCTGGTGAGCCTTTAATCCCAGCACTCGGAAGGCAGAGGCAGGCGGATCTCTGTGAGTCGAGGCCAGCCAGGTCTCCATAGTGAATCCAGGCCAGCAGGGTCTACAGGGAGACCCTGTCTCAAAAAGACCAAAAAAAAAAAACCAAAACAAAAAAAAAAAACAACCTGTGTTTGGCTGGTACAGGCACTAGTGCTACACTCTTGCCTGCTTCTGCTTCTCAAGAAAAATGTTTTGAGTTACAGATATTTAACAGACACTGAAAGAGTTGTCTTTTATTTCCCCTCCTCAGTAAAAAAGAAAAAAATAGAAGTATGGTTTTTTATTTAAGAGAATCATTTGTTTGGTATTAGAACCTCATACAAAGTTTATGTAAGAAATTCATTATTATAAGTACTGTATTAGACCAATTTCCAGAAAGCTAAGGTGGTGTATTTGTCTCTTGGTGGGCTAGTTTTCATTCATCCTTCCCTAAGTCAGATCAAATCTAATTAAAGCTATTCTTCTGCTTTATCTTTTATTGTTTTAAACATTCATCACCCTCTGTGGTCTCACTAATGGACTAATTTCCTGAGGTTACAAATTGGCATGCTTTCATTTCCAGATTGCAGCCTCTCTGTCATCATTTTTCCAGTTTTTTTTTACATGTTTGTTTTATGCTGTATCACAAAATGGATTTCCTCACTTCAGTTCTGAAATTATTTGTCCCCGTACAATTAATGAATAAGCTGTGCATCCAAGGATATTTATCCAACGGCACTAACCAAATTTTATATTTTTAAAAGCAGCCATGCCTTTAAAAAAAAGTTGGCAAGTCAATTTTAATTTTTTAAAGACAGTAACAATAGCCCATTTCCCAAAGCAAACTAGTATATAAAAAAGTCAATTTAAAAATTCCTATAGCGATTCTATATAATAAAATTACATTGAAATTATTGCCAATTTTTGGCCAATATACTCTTTCTTACATAACTTAAAATTTGGACCAGAAAAAGTATAGAAAGAGCATAATTTTAAAACATACAGCATAACTTTTTTTTCTTTTTGTAGCATTAATCTTATCACTGGTCATTTAGAGGAACCAATGCCAAACCCTATAGATGAAATGACAGAAGAACAAAAAGAATATGAAGCCATGAAACTTGTCAACATGCTTGATAAACTTTCCAGGTATTGTACCCCATCCATTTTTTGCTTGGTTTCTAAGAATGTTCTATTTCTTTGTCTCTCTCACTGAGAGTTACCATAGAACAGCAACTCTGGAAATCCATGTCGATCGGAACAGGGTGCCCGGCAGCAGTAGTTAGGTGCTCCCGTGGTTTTTCTACATGTGCCGCTTCTGGATGTGCATTCCTGAAACATTTAAACACAACGCTCAGATAGTAACGACTAGTTTGCTGTAAGACTTAACCAACTAACCTCCCTGTCTTCAAAAGGATGCTGTGAGTTAGGTTCAATGATTTTCCTGCTTTCTGTATTTTTGTTTCAGTCTGTTTGGTTTTTGTTTCAAATCATGGTACGCTTTTTTTTTTTTTCCTTTATTGTTGATGTGCAAGTTTGCAATACTGCTTTTTGGGTTGCTGCTGAAACCAAGAATTCTAAAATGTCATGTACTCAACAGGAAAATGTGAAAAGAAATAGCTCAAATGAAGGATTTTTTTTTTTTAAAAGCAGACCCTTGTATTTAGTGGGATTCTGAAAGCAACCTGCCCTTCCCCTCTTCACACCTCCTTCCCTTTCAAAAAGTAAACAGTTTTGTAAATAATTAGATCAAGAATATATACTAATCAGCAACTAGCTGTTTTGGAGGAGTTACTAGAAAATGATTCCTTTCAAATTTGGATGGATTGCTCTGTTTTCCAGTCATTTATTGAGTCACTGTCTCCTTTAAGCCATCTTGAGTGAGTGCTTCTTTGTGTCAGCAGCAGCTACCACTTCAAGGTGAATTTCTTCTAGTCACCTCATTTTCTACATTAACCATAAAGGCTGGTATTCCTCAGTCAAGAGAAGTAATCATTGTAACAGAAAAGCCAGAGACCAACCATGTAAAGGGACAGGATATAACCAAAAGGCATAATTAAGATTGCAGCAGAATGCCTAGCTAAGAAAAGAAATTGACAGGACTGTGTGGGTTGGCAAAATTCTGGCAAAGAGGAGTATTTCGACACTCTGTAGTCTGAGCTTTTAGCAGATGACACTGATAATGTGGTGGAAGTTGTTTAAAAGTAAGGAGCTTCATTAGCTGAGGAGTGTGCTAGAACTTGGTGACTGTTAGCTAGCCCTTTTGAATTGTCTTCCTTTCCCAAGATTAGAATTTACAATGGTACTCACACTCTTCAAAAGACATTTTTGCCTGTTTGCAAATTACATTCTCTATAACATTTTAATACAACAGATGAGTTCTTCCTTTGAAGTCACAGAGATTGTTAATAGAATGAACCTATATTAAGCAGAATAACAAGTTCTAAGTGAATATATAAAAATAAGATCTGGTAGCTAGGATAGAGTTCAGTGGTAGAGCACAAAGGCCCTGGGTTCAATCCTCAGCTCCCTTAACCCCCCCCCCAAAAAAAAAGAATATATACAAAAATAAGGGGTATGTGCCTGGTAACTTCCAGAAAGGTCTGTTGTAGCTAGTGAAACTCAATGGTGTAAGTACAAATCAGAATGAAAACCAATGGCATTCCACCTGGCAGAAGCTAGAAAGGGAACTGTTAGCAAGGCCTTGAGTGGAGCTCAGTGTTGGAGGACAGTGTACCACACGAGGGGCATTAAACATTTGAGTTGTTAGAGGTTAATACAGATACTATACAGCTGGCCCATTTATTCTGGATGAGTAAACTCCAGGCTCAAAATGTAGAAAATGGGAAACAAACTGCCTAAGATAGTGCCATATGATCTGCATATTTAGCTTATTGATAGAGCCATAGACATCACCAATTTCATAATGTACCCCTGTTACAGGCACAAAAAACAAAGGCATTAGATCCTTCTTTTAATCTCAGGAATCATGTGTTCGAACATCAAGTCTGAAATGCGTATCTTCCACCCGACTCAGATCAGGAAACCCCAGCATTTGCCCTACTCTGTTTGAAGGCAATGCTAACACTTGCATGTGTAAAGTAGAGCAGTTGTGTCTTACGTTGGCTTTGATGGCCCCAATTTTGCCATTAAAGTTGAAGCAAAAGTGAACTTGAGTCATAAATCGTGTTGAATTTTTGCATGATGTGAGTTTTTTACATTGTCTGCCTTTGTGTGCTTTCTAACACTTGCTCTCACTAATAACAATCACTGGCAAACTGAAGCTCAGCAGTGGGCCTTCCAAAGCAGGAATGTAGGCATGAAGCCCTTCTTTGTGCGTCTTACATGTTTGTTGTGCTTATTACTCATTGGTCCTCAGTTTCATCTCTTTACTTTTTGTATTTTTGAGGTTTAGAAAAAAGATGCCATAAAGCCAACTAGACTGTGCTCAGTCCCATTCAAGGGACTTCTGTTCCACTAAACATCTACTGTGTGCAAGGCCTGAGCCAGGAAGCCACGGGGGATTCAGAGGTGAACAGGACAATCTCTGCCTTTGGAAAATTCATGTTCTAGTGGAAGAAATGGCTGAATAATTTCTTCTAGAATACCAAGTAGAAGGAAATGGTGAAATTGAGGTCTGTGTTGAACCCAGGAGAAGGAGCAGTTCATTCTGTCTAAGTGATTCAGGAAGTATTTTGTTGGGAAAGGGTCTCACATGTGGGCTGATATTGAAGTTTAAGAAAAATGGCAAAATGAGCATTCATTGTAGGGAGAGAGAAATTTAATCCTGTTAGTAAATCTTTGGTAGTCACATATTGTATCTTCCTTCCAAAAAGCTCGGGTTGTTTTATCATTAATGCAGTATGTTAATCAGACTGATTAGTGGGGAATGCAAGAACCAAAAAAATCACCCCAAACATTTCCAAGCTAATGACTGATGACAGTCCATTTCCTTTCGGCAGTTTACAAGGGCGCTGTCCATGCATTCTCTTTCTTGCTTCATAATAAAGTGAAACTAGGAACTTTGTTTTCCAGAACTCAAGCCCTTCGCTGTGTCCATTGTGTTGCTGTGTCTGTCTGTTACAGTGTTTGCCAGAACACTGCTTAATCATCTTCTCAGCATTGTGCTATTGATTAGCTCCCTCAACTGTCACTCCAGGAAGTTCTGCTCTGAGCCAGGTCTTTATTGTGCTGAGTGTCCTATAGCTTTGTCTGATTAACTTCCTGTCTCAACAATGAAATCAGTTTCTCCTGCCCTTGAAATGAAAAGCATGTGAGAAAGGATAGGGTTGGAGGTGGCGTGGCCAGAGAATGGACACTAGACACTTCCTTTTTCCATCCATAGGAGAGCAGATGTGAAGGACCTGCACCAGGATGGTGGTTGGCAACAGTGGCCCGTGCCAAAGCACTTACCAAAGTGATGACTAAGGTTGGTCATGCCAAGTACTGTTACTAAGCCTGGTGTAGGGCATAGGTGTTGCCACCAAAGTGTAAAGCCACTAGATGTGAAACTTGAGAATACCTTCCCATCTTGCCTTCATGCTGGACAAACCCACTGCCTTAAGGAGCCCCTTCTCAGCATCTTTGTCTCACCTGGATTTCTGAGAGCTGTGGAGACTTTAGTAGGCATTACTTTCTTCTATTGAATACCAGCTGACTTAACAGTATTTGAAATGTTTTTTAAATTCTTTTGATAGAAGGATTATATCTATGAGAGATGTTTCTGTTCTTTATATGGGGATTTGGCAGTGTACCTGGAAGATTTCAGAGCTAGAGAGTCGTCTGAACCCTGTAAACCCCGTCGTGTCTAGCTGGTATACCTTGTTCCCATGGTTTCCCCAGTGTGTGAGGATCAAAAAGGAAATAGCTAACCTCCAGACTTGAAGGTCTAGGTTTTTTTCTATATAAAATAATCTATATGATGATTCAGGGCTTTAAAGTGTATGTTGTCAGTTCCATTTCTTAGCCAAATTTCATCAAATTAGAGACTTAAAAGGAAGTCCATAAAGAAATTTGGGCCATAACTGAATATTTAAATATGTGGATACATATTTACTATAAAATAACCATAATGTTTAGCACTCAGACCTGAGGTATAAAGTTACAGAAAACTTCTTTTGGCATTATGGTCTGAGGACAAGTAGAAGAGGCTGGTTCTTGCCCACTTGCTACCTCCTTGTTCCTGCTCTGATCTGGAGACAGATAAGCCTGTGGAACTCAAGCCAGAGAGTAAAATGGCAGTTGTGTGTCCAGTGTGTTCATTTACCTGGCTGTAGCACACAACTCATGCACGCTGATGGTGACTTCGGTGGAAGCTAGCTGAGGAAACCCTATTTCAAGTTACAGTTTTGTTTGACTTCTCTGATCCCCTCACTTCCTTAATTGACACCAGATTGATCTTTTACTCCACCCTTGTCTGTCACTGTTTAACAAGGCATATATAATCAACTGTCAAAATCTGTGTTTTAAATTTTATTTATAAACAATATTTGTTCTGCCATTTCTTTTCTTATCCACTCTCTGGCCAATAACTGTGGTTTCCCCCCCCCCCATTTCTTTCAGTTTTTACCAGAAATACTGATAATTGAGACTTAACTTTCTTAATGCTGGCATCAAATATAAGAAGTTTCCTTTAATCAAAAGATTGTTTTTAAATTTAGTAAGGCTATGACTGAAAAGTAACTGATACACAATTTTTTCCATATAAATAAGTTCTGTTACTCATCTTACAGAAATACAGACTGTGATTACACCTGTCTTTATGAGGAGTTAGTCAAGGAAATGCTTATTAGAAACATAAGCCACTTTTTAGAGCATCAGAAGACCTGCAGTAGGCGTTAAGAGTACATAATGGTTTCCATCAGAAAACCCTCTGACCTGCACTATCCGTCATGTAACCAGTAGTCTGCATGAAACTGAGTGCTCGAAATGTGGTTAATCCAAATTAGGTTATTCTCTAAGTATAAAGTATTCACCAGGTTTCAACAACTTGGAGACTTAGTACAACAAAGAATGTAAAATGTCTCATTAGTTATTTAATTTTATCATAATTAATTTATTTTTCTATATGGCCATTTGAACATATATATTCGGCTCACCTGGTGACTTGTGTTATATTTCTGATAGGCAGCACTGCTCTCCATCATTAAAATGCACTGTAAGGTTGCTTGGAAAATCAGTTAAAGGGGTGTGAATCTCGACATATTAGTATACCCTTTCAGGGCAAGGGGGGATTAATTTGAGAAACCTGATTCCCATGCCGCCGTAGGCTGTAGAGGACCATCCCAGTGGCTAGACACCTAAGTAGGATGCCACGTTCCCCATGTAGTATGTTCTGAAAGTCACTGAGTGCTTGGTTAGAACACAGGCTGAAATGGTTTTTAACCATTAGCAAGACGTGAAGTAAGAATAGTCTCCACTGGCTTTTAGCTCTCTTAGTTACCCTCTACCTTTAACTTTTAAATCTTCCTAATTGAAAGAGCATATAAGATTTTCTATTTCTACCACTTTTTTCGACAGTTAACATGCAGACCTCTTACTAATTCTGTTAATTTGTGCAACAGGATAGAAAAATTCTCTTAAGTATGTTACCATGAAGTAATAACACCATTAATTAAAGATCAAATGAATTGTATTCTTCCAATGCTGTCCCTAACCTCATTCTCTATATTTTCTTAACTGTGCTATCTAACAGGAGGCGACAGCAAATTTTTAGAAGCTTTGCATGCAGTCTTCTAACAGAAATTAGAACAATAATTTTTAAAAACCTATTTAGTGCTTTAAAATGTAAAAAAAATGCTTCAGTGTGTGTTATCTCTGTTGATCATTAAAACAATCCTGTGATTTAAGTAGGATAAAATGTATGTTTTTAGGGAGTAAATTCATCAAAGTTTAAATGACTGACCTAAGATCAGACATTTAGTTAATGATACTCTCCAGAACCTTTCACTATGTTGAAAAATTACAACAGCTCTCAAAAGTGTGTCATAAATAAGACATAAATTTTAAATAAATGCAAAGCACCAAAGACCAATAGTAGGCATCTTTAACAGAATTCAGATTTAGAGTAGATGTGCATAATGCATCCGTACTTTTTTACTTATCAAATATCAGGTCAAGTATGAAATAAATACCTTACATTTTTTAAAAAATAACTAGTTTTATGAGGAAAACCAGTAAATTTTCTACAATCCTTTAAACAAGGTTTTCTAAGGTTTTTTAAAAGAGAATGGACATGATATCCTAACAAGTTCTTAACCATGTCATCACACTAATGAATCTTAGCTTTAAAAAGGTTTCCCTGTGGGAATTCTTAGACAGCACGCCTTACAAAGCAGAAGGGCTTGGTGATAGGAGCAGTTTATCCATTTGTCTTGGGAATAGTATTTTTATATAGCATATTTTACTTTCCCTATTGTACTCATCTCAGAACACAGTGGTGAAGACTTGAGGGGAGGATCTCAGAATTGTTTTAAGATACAGTTGGAAGACCTTGAATTTGCTATGGAAAAGCCACCGTCCCTCTCCTTCCTGGTGATAGTAGTTTAGTGAAGGATGAATATAACCAGTTAAGGGCTAAGAAGCAGCCATTATGAAGGATGAAGAATTGGTACCCAAGCCCAAAGGCCACTATCCTCACAGTAGCTAACTGAACATGTTAAACAGTCCCAAGGGTTGTAGAAGTCTTGAGATAAAAAGGTTAAAAAATTTAAAAGACTATCACAAATATCAAGACTCCATTAGGATTATGGCTACTCCAGCCACACACTCCTGGGCTTAGAGTTACTGTGAAGATTGCAGAGCTGCTTTCTTTGGGCTTTCGCAACATCCATTCCAATAAGCACTTTTGGAAAAGCTCTCTGTTAATCAAAATACTTATTTATGTAAGAATTTCTCATCCCATCTTTGAACTGTGAAAAGGAATCAAATGTGAAATGACTAACTTAACATGTCAGGGTTCTTTTTTCCAAGCCAACCTTACATTAAGAGCAGGAATCCCTGTGCCAAAGAAACGGTTCCCAATTATCCCGTCCTGGGTTTTGTTACACGTTGTACAAAAGTCAACAAAACAAGTATGTAACAGAGCCTGTCTAAATAGCAGCCAACCTCATTAAAAACAGAGAATTAATCAAGGGTGATTAAAGGAAGCAGTGCTTCATAGGTTCCCCCTTTTTCTTCTTTTCTAATCATAGAACAAAATATGTGACATAAAAGGATCAGAACTATTATGCAGTACTCAATTAGAGGGAGGTGAATAGGTCTCTAACATGCTGTTTTATCAAAAGAGCAGACTGGTGTTTGCATTACTGTTGTTTCATTACAGACCCTGTCATTAATTCCATGTGTCAATACTGCCCTGTAGTACACAGAGCAGACAAGAAAGAAGAGCCCTTGAAAACAAGGGAATGATTTTTGAGTCGTTATCAAGCTAAGTGGCAAGCGGGAAGCTGAAACTCGTATAGGTAAATTCGAAGGGACTCTTGGGAGATCTGCAAGTGGGAAACAAGAATGCGTTTTACCAACTGCTTAATTATGTCCTGTTTTTCAACAAGTACACTTGAATTGAATGCTTTGTTTATATTGCACAAAAACGTGCTGTGGGCAAGAGTATTCTCTTGCTTCCAGGTCAAGTAAGGTGTTACACACATCTGACCTATTCTGTAATGTGCAATTGGGTATGTTATTACCTGAGCCCCAATACTGCATTCATTGCTGGGGGAGTCACATAGGAGCAAGAAGCCCTAAAACAGCCTGACCTCTGAGGTTCTGAGAAGTTACAGAGGCCCAGCCACCCCAGATACCATACTTACAGGAAGAGGTTGTAAATATCTGGGGAAAAATTTGAAAGTCCAGAAAATGTGCAAAAATCCCATAATCTCCCACCCCTAAGTCTTTAAGAAAGTTGTTTTTTGTTTGTTTGTTTGTTTGTTTGTTTTGGTTTGGTTTTTTTGTTTTGTTTTTTGGGGGTTTTTTTGGATTTTTGTTTTTGTTTGTTTGGGTTTTTTTTTTTTTTTTTTTTTTTTTTTTTTGTTTGGGTTTGTTTTTTTTTTTTTTTTTTTGGGGGTTTTTTTTGGTTTTTTTTTTTTTTTTTTTGGGTTTTTTTTTTTTTTTTTTTTTTTGGTTTCCATTAGCAGTCCCAAGGGTTAGGCTGGGGCAAAATAGGGTTCCCTTTCTTGGACGTGCTTTATCTGTGTCCTCTTGCCTGGCCAAGCCCTTATAGATTACGGTTCCTTATCGTTTAGTAAGATCAAATTTCTAAATGATGTTTCGTTCCAGTTGAACATTCTTGGAGGCTTATCTCTTCCCTGGCCAGATGCCTGATCAGATGAGAAGCCGCCATGATACTGTCACAGTGCCTAGAGTGGGCTCTTTATCCAGTAGACATCACTGTACTTTTTGGTGATAACGAGGGCAGTCTTAACTTGTGTTAAGGCCTGTGTATAGCATTGAAGGTAAGTATGAAGGAGTTGTTGCTATGTGAACATCTTAACCCTGATACACATTTCAGTATGTAGTGTCTTCGTTTTACCATGATACCTGATGCCCAGCCATCCTTTTTTAGAGAGGACCTTCATAAATTTAGGACCAGTTGTAACTCTTCATAAAATGGCCTAGTGAGGGCCATGGTGGAGTTTGGATCCGTGGGTGTAACACTTACCATTGCTTTGTAATCGTTGTAATCCCCTGCTGGTAGACTGCAGAGAAGGTTTGTGGTCTTGGTATATGTCATTGACAGGCAGGTGCCGTGTTTGACTGTTAGGATTAGAATATCTGGATTAGAAACAAAGGCTTAGAATAAAGAGTTTGAATGTCTTAAAACCCCAATGGCTTTTTAAATGGGTCAAAATTATTTTGTAGCCTAATGCTTAGACTCTTTAAATTAGTAAAAAAAAAAATGTTGGGGATCATCTTGTCCAAGCCCTCATTCTGTAGCCCACAGAGGCAAATGACTTGCCCAAGAACTTGTACCAATTTAGTAGGAGATCTTAGACTAGAATCTCGATCTCCTAATGTCTCATAAATAAGAAATTGAGTCTGTACCAAATGGTGGTTAGGAACCAGGCTGTCGGGTAAAAAAAAAGAGCCTGACTTCTGCTGGGCTCTCAGCATCACCTGATAGCATTGACTCATCAAAGAAATACTTAAGAGAATGCTTCCCATCAAGTGGTTCTACCATTCTTCATTTATGCTGTGACCCATGTACCCTTTCAGGAAACTACCAAGCACCTACTGTGTGCTCTGTCCTAGACTAGATACACAAAAATGAACAGCCTAAGTCATGGACTCTACGTAGACTTCAGGTTGTACACAATCTAGTAGAGAAATCAGTATGCAGGATTTCCTATGGAATATTAATCATTTCCTGATCCTATAAATCCTGATAATGAAAACATCTTTTGCTCACAGATTTAACCTAAGGCTGGTTCATGGTTTAGTAGTTAGGAGTCCTATATGACACCTAACTTAACTGAGGAAACACCAACTAAATTTAGTTCACAGGCACTTAATTGAGGTTCTGATTTCTGCAAGGCACTGTGCTAGACACATGAGGACATTATTGAATAATTAAAGCACAAAATATACTTTCTTTTTAGTGTGTTAGAGCAATATTGTTCATAGCTTTCAAAATTTGTAGTAACAATTATTTTTAATAAATACTCTTAAATACAGAAGGTGGCTCTTGAATTAAAAGACAAAAATACCTTCATACTCAAAGCTAGGCTTCTCAGCCTTGGATTCAGGCTTCCAGATCCTCCTTCATACCACATACCATTTTTGAGCTTTCTTTTCCTTTTTCTTCCGCTGAGCCAACCTGCTTGCCAATCCCTGCACACAACTAACTCTTGCTTCTGTGCCTCTGCTTGACTAATTCTGCTTCTGGGATGCTTTTCTTCCTGTGACTCCATGTCCATCATTGCCATTATAGTGTGGCCCCGAGTCTGCCTCCTGCAAGCAGCCTGGAGCCGACGTCCCTGTTTCCTGCTGTGTCCTCCCACATGTGCATAGTCCAGATGACTGGTGAAGAAACATTTTTGTGGTGTTCATTAAAAAGCTTCCTATTCTCTGTCCATATCTTATTGACCTAGATACAAACAGATCATAAATGAAACAGTCTAAGATAACTAAATCACTCACCAAGCTCTTTAGAAATGAGTCTCAATGTCAAAGATTTTGTTTTGGAATGTGTGGGCAGCTAGTTAAAAGACAGAGAAGATCAGAAAACTTAGCTTTACAAGTATGAGAAATAATCCAGGGTCCATGGGAAAAACAGTCACACATTAGTACATGATCCTCTCCTGCTCCCACATAGGACAAGACATCTCCTTAAACAAGCTACAGACACAGTAAAGATTGACTAGTGAACTGCCAAGCTTAGGGAGGCAGGGCTTTGCCTGTTAATCATCTCAAGCTTGTTGATCTGCTGTTCTTTCAATATTGTCTAATGTGTGTATGTTTTATCTTCCAAACTGACTAAAATCTTCTTGAGGTGAGGGACCATGCCTTTTACTTGCTTCTGTGTATTCTTTGCCCCACTTATTCCTAACTATCAGGAAGCACACAAGGAAGGGGAATACAGCTTGTGGGTTCCAGCTACTTCCTGGCCGTTGCACTGCACACTTACATATATAGTAGATAGCCTTTGCACTCATGACAGCTTTGTGAGGTTTTCCTGTTCTATTTCTACAGATAAGAAAATCAAAGTTCAGAGAGTTTAAAGCCTTATGGTTAATGAGTGGTGGATCTAGAATTAAAACCCAGGCCTGACTATAGAACCTGTAGGGTAGTGTGCTTTTCACTACCCTACAGTGATAAGTGTTTGAGTCCCTCAAGGTTCACAGAGCTCTTTGGTCTGTATTACTGCTGCTCCCACTGCTATACTAGTACTTCTTACATCATCACTAGGACGTAGGCAGAGCTAGTAATATCATGACCCCCATTTCACAGATGGGGAGACTGAGACTCAGAGACTTGCCCAAGACCACACAGCTGGTAAGTGGAAGAACCCAGACTTTAGACTTCCTAACTTCAGATCTTTTTGTCTTTTCTACAACATCACATTGCTGCCTTAATTTATTTGCATGGATGCATGATTTTGTGGCCAGTTTTCACTGATGCCTTTCTTACAGAAATGCAGTACACCCAAGCATTGCATGGAGCCATGTGGAAAGAAAATAATTCAAGCCTTCTGAGGAGCTTCCATTTTAATGGAGGGAGGGTTAATACAAAGGACCTCCCAAAAGATGCTTAGGAATAGTTAACAAGGGAGAATTAAAAAATGATGTCCTTTGTTCTATAAATTATCATAATTTGACCATAAAACTGTATATAATTCTTAATTACTTCCAGTGTGAAGTTGGATTAGAAAGGAAGAATAAAAATAATAGACTTGATTTGAAAATACTCTCCCCGGGGCTACAATAGAAAATGCTAGGTTCACACATTTGTAGCTAGCCCTGTGCCATTTCTGTTATCGGAGAGAAGCAGTGTGTCAGTCCCAGTGGTGAGGGACTATCTGCCAGGCAGGTAGTTGCTCACTGTCTTTGATAGGACCCCGCCTGTCCCCCCTGCCCATCCATGCCATTCAGTCCCTCCCTTGGTTCGCTGCCTTCAGTTCGACAGCCCCTTTAACTAGGTCTGTGTGTGTTTTATAGATGATGTTTGTTTGGTTTGGTTTGGGTTTTTGTTCTTTTGGGACAGGCTTTTGCTCTGTAGCCTACACCGGCCTCAAACTTACTCATGATTCTCCTGCCTCAGCCCCACCCACTCCCTAAGTGCTGGAATTACAGTTGTGTGCTACCACACCCACCTTTAGACCTAAAATTTTCTTATCCTTCGGTGTGTCGTTCCCAGCAAGCTGTCCCTTCTTTTGTATCAGTTATTAGCATCCAATCTCATAAAATCAGTCAGAACTAGGAGACTACATATTGGTGAACTGTAGCAGGATGGTTATCTGTATTAGAGAGAAGTAGTAAAAGAGGTTGTTACTGATTTCTCACTGACCATTTCTAGCTGGTTGTCATACATGCAACTTAAGTTCTTCATGTCCTGAAAGATACTAGCATTTCCCCACCAAATCTGTTCCATGTCCTGTGTCCTGGCTCCAGTAGATAGTGTCACATCCACTGAGTATCTGTACTAAAGCTATAGGGACACTCCTATTCGCCTCCACCAGCCCCTTCCCCTTTCAGATCTGCCTAGGGTATGTTGCCTTTCTTCCCACAACCTCAGCACAGTCCAGCTCTCTCTCCTTTCCCAGACACTGTTACAATGACCTCCTAATGACTTACCCTTCTGCCACCTATGCCTGAGTGTCAG